ATATCATATTTCTATGTTATTAATACTGTTTATTATGTCATATTAGATGCATTGTGATAGATATTTCACACAAATTTCAAAAGATGCCAATTTCAAAATAGGGTTCAGAATAAACAATGCAGGCATTCCTGGTACTAAAATAATATTTTCTCTCTTCATTAGTCATGTCTCCAGGCCCCTCTTATATTATGCTTGCTTTCCATTCTGAATTTTTATTTACACAAAAATAGAAGATTTACTGTTATGCAGATCACCATATTATAGTAATAATTGTATAAATAATGTCAACCCATTCATGACCACATACAAGACCAGCCAGTTGAGCACATATTGGATGCATGATGTGATTTGTTTACTCTTGAACATCAGCAAAAATTAAACATTTCTGCTACTTTGAACTCAATTTCAAGGTACTTTCCATCAAAATCATCTCAATTTCTGTAATATATCTTCCATTCTATCAAATGAGACCAAAAAAACAACAATACAACCATAAAAACCACACAAAAATACACTGCAATGTCGCTGTTTTACACCAAAAACACAGTAGCAGTTTTTTTTTTTCCTCACTATGAACTAAGTGCTGCAGGATGTACGGTGTTTCAGCTTTACACAACAAGAAGCATTTCCTTTATTCAATGAAGCCATGACTGGAGAAAAACAAATTGGAATGGCTTGCCTGTGACACCAACAGTGTTTGTGCAGCAAGTAGCAGCTGGTGAGGTGACATGGAAAATTTAAAATTATGCTAGACGAAATTAGTGCTGGTCTAATGATGGAACCAGATTAGTGACTGCTGGATCAGTGATGGCCGATCTGTACAACTACAGCCTCTCCTCACTTAACTACGGAGTTCCATTCCTAAGACCACATTGGTAAATGAATTTGTCACTAAACAAAGAGCATACTATAATGGTAGTGGGTTTGTACCAAGCATCTTTGATATTGTTTTAATGTCACCTTTGAACCATTTATAACATTTTTAGTATATTTTTAAATGTTTATACAGTAGTGTACAGTGGTACCCCGAGTTTCAGCCATAATTTGCTCCAAAAGGCTGTTCGAGTGCCGTTACCAAACGAATTTGTTCCCATAAGGAATAATGTAAATTAGATTAGTCTGTTTCAGACCCGCAAAAATACATTTACAAAAGCACTTGCAGTAATACACTTACACAACTGTTCGAGATGGGAGCTGTACGTAACTCGGGGTACCACTATACTGTATATTGTAATAAACAGAATACAGTGGACCCTCGGCTAACGAAAGCATTGCACAATGTTAAATCCACCCAATGAAGCGTTTGAGTGTAAAAATTTTGGCCTGGCTAATGATAAAAAACTCGCATAACGTGATTCGTCCCGAACCTGTCCGTCCAGCCTGAGCACCTCAGCTGCCCTGCCGTCATTGTTTACAAGCCAGGGTGGCCGGTTTCATGCATACATTCAATACATTTTGTATTATTCCATTGTTTATAGTGCTTGTAACTGCTAAATAAGCCACCATGGGCCCAAAGAAAGCTTCTAGTGCCAACCCTGTGGTAAAAAGGGTGAGAAATACTATTGAAATACTATCGTACCATGGTCAGCTGCTGCTGCACCACTGTCAGCTGTTGCTGCACCACCGTCAGCTGTTGCTGCACCACCGTCAGCTGTACTACTCAAAGATGTGGAGAGACTGTTGTTGGTGTGGCTTAATGAGAAATAATTACCGAGAAACAATTAACCCCAGAGGGTTAGCCACCCAGGATAACCCAAGAAAGTCAGTGAGTCATCGAGGACTGTCTAACTTATTTCCATTGGGGTCCTTAATCTTGTCCCCCAGGATGCAACCCACACCAGTCGACTAACATCCAGGTGAAAAGGAAAAAATGTCTGGAACTAGTGCTCATATTGGTGAACTTAAGGCCAGCAAAGGTGATAAGGCATGGTGAAGCTGAAAAATTCCAACCCCAAGTGTTCATTTGTGACGAAACAGGCCTGTTCTGGAAGAAAATGCCAAACAGGACCTACATTACTCAGGAGGAAAAGGGACTCCCAGGACACAAGCCTATGAAAGACAGACTAACTTTCTTGTTTTGTTGTAATGCTAGTGGGGATTGCAAAGTGAAGCCTTTACTCATGTATCACTCTGAAAATCCCAGAGTGTTCAAGAAAAACAGTGTTTCATCACTCATCAAATCTTTCCAGGTAATACTCTTCAATAAAAGTAAGTGTCATTTTAACATTTATTTATATAGTTATTGTGCATGCCCCACTGTTTTCTTTGTAGGGAAATGTATATTTCATGAATTTTTTTTTTTTTTTTTTTTAATACTTTTGGCTGTCTGGAACGGATTAACTGGATTTCCATTATTTCTTATGGGGAAAATTAATTCAGCTAACGATAATTTTGTATAACGATGAGCTCTCGGGAACAGATTAATATCATCAGCCGAGGGTCCACCGTACAGGAAATCAGCTCTAATATACATTATTTAGGCATGCATACTGGTCAGAGCCCATCGTAAGTCAGAGTCGTCAATAAACGAGTACATCGCTAAGAGAGGAGAGGATGTATCTATTTAATAAACCATGCAAAGATATTCATCATGTAGCTGTGCAATGTCTAGTATTAAATTTTAGGTATAGTGTATAATTTTCTTTTCAAAGTACAGTAGAACCCCCTTATCCATGGATTCGGTTTCCATGGTTTCAGTTATCCATGGTTTAATGTGGCCTGAAAATAAGCCTTAATTTTGCTTAGTAATGGCCACAAAGCACTATAGTAGTAATGGTGGCAGTTCTTCAAAGCCTAAGAGAAGCCGTGAAATGCTTCCCATCATACTTTATCAATTAAACTTTATCATACGTATGTATGTCAATGAAAAATTACTTATATATAGGGTTCACTATTATCCACAATTTCAGGTATCTATGGTAGGGGGAGGGACTACTGTATACACATAAGCTAATAATTTAGGCATCATAAATATTATCATAAATATTATTTATCCATGGGGAAGTGGAATAAGAATCTTTCCTCCATAAGCCATGCGTGTTGTAAAAGTCAACTAAAATGCCGGGAACAATGGGCTAGTAACCCCTTATCCTGTAAAGATTACTAAAAAGAATAAGAAGAAGAAAACTGTCAAAGTGGGAAGTCTGAATGTGCGTGGATGTTGTGCAAATGATAAGAAAGAGATGATTGTGGATGTTATGAATGAGAAGAAACTGGATGTCCTGGCTTTAAGCAAAACAAAGCTGAAGGGGGTGGGAGAGTTTCAATGGAGAGGAATAAATGGGATTAGGTCAGGGGTTTCAAATAGAGTTAGAGCTAAAGAAAGAGTAGCAATAATGTTGAAGGATAAGCTATGGCAGGAAAAGAGGAACTACAAATGTATAAATTCAAGGATTATGTGGAATAAAATAAAGATTGGATGTGAAAAGTGGGTTATAGTAAGTGTGTATGCACCTGGAGAAGAGAAAAGTGTAGAGAGAGAGAGAGAGAGAGATTCTGGGAAATGTTGAGTGAATGCGTGGGGAGTTTTGAATCAAGTGTGAGAGTAATGGTGGTTGGGGATTTCAATGCTAAAGTGGGTAAAAATGTTATGGAGGGAGTAGTAGGTAAATTTGGGGTGCCAGGGGTAAATGTAAATGGGGAGCCTTTAATTGAGCTATGTGTAGAAAGAAATTTGGTAATAAGTAATACATATTTTATGAAAAAGAGGAAAAATAAATATACAAGGTATGATGTAGCATGTAATGAAAGTAGTTTGTTAGATTATGTATTGGTGGATAAAAAGGTTGATGGGTAGGCTTCAGGATGTACATGTTTATAGAGGGGAAACTGATATATCGATCATTATTTAGTTGTAGCTACAGTTAGAGTAAGAGGTAGATGGGAAAGAGGAAGGTGGCAACAACAAGTAAGAGGGAGGTGAAAGTGTATAAACTAAGGGAGGAGGAAGTTCAGGAGAGATACAAGGACTATTGGCAGAAAGGTGGGCTAGTGCAAAGATGAGTAGTGGGGGGGGGGGGTTGAGGAGGGTTGGAATAGTTTTAAAAATGCAGTATTAGAATGTGGGGCAGAAGTTTGTGGTTATAGGAGGGTGGGGGCAGGAGGAAAGAGGAGTGATTGGTGGAATGATGAAGAAAGGGTGTGATAAAAGAGAAAAAGGTAGCTTATGAGAGGTTTTTACAAAGCAGAAGTGTTATAAGAAGAGCAGAGTATATGGAGAGTAAAAGAAAGGTGAAGAGAGTGGTGAGAGAGTTCAAAAGGAGAGCAGATGATAGAGTGGGAGAGGCACTGTCAAGAAATTTTAATGAAAATAAGAAAAAATTTTGGAGTGAGTTAAACAAGTTAAGAAAGCCTAGGGAAAGTATGGATTTGTCAGTTAAAAACAGAGTAGGGGAGTTAGTAGATGGGGAGAGGGAGGTATTATGTAGATGGCATGAATATCTGGAGGAACTTTTAAATGCTGAGGAAGAAAGGGAGGCGGTAATTTCATGCACTGGCCAGGGAGGTATACCATCTTTTAGGAGTGAAGAAGAGCAGAATGTAAGTGTGGTGGAGGTACGTGAGGCATTACGTAGAATGAAAGGGGGTAAAGCAGCTGGAACTGATGGGATCATGACAGAAATGTTAAAAGCAGGGGGGATATAGTGTTGGAATGGTTGGTACTTTTATTTAATAAATGTATGAAAGAGGGGAAGGTACCTAGGGATTGGCGGAGAGCATGTATAGTCCCTTTATATAAAGGGAAAGGGGACAAAAGAGAATGTAAAAATTATAGAGGAATAAGTTTACTGAGTATACCAGGAAAAGTATACGGTAGGGTTATAATTGAAAGAATTAGAGGTAAGACAGAATGTAGGATTGCGGATGAGCAGGGAGGCTTCAGAGTGGGTAGGGGATGTGTAGATCAAGTGTTTACATTGAAGCATTAACACTTGAGTTTTTGTCCTGATTATTCTATAAATTCAATTTGGCCAAAGCAGCATTATCAAAACTGTTCTTACCCAGTAAGAGGATGCACTCTAGGCTGAGATGCAGCAGGCAAGACAGGTTGGTTTTCATCCATTCCTTCATCAACAACTTCTTCCTCTTCTACCTCTTCTACTTCCTCCATACCAAATCCATTGTCTGAAAAATATAGTTATTCATTACCAATAAATTTTCTTCCCATAATTTATATTACTGAGTGAAAATAATACTGACAAAATAATAAACTACAAGACAATATACTGGAGAATGATACAACAATACTGTACTGCACTGTATAGTCAGACTAGCTAGTTAGGAGAAAATGGTCCATTACACAGAATAACGTTACATACTGGAACTGTACATGGTTGTGTATTCAGTTTTAATGGCTTACATTAGGAATAACATCCTCTCTGAACATGGTACCTCAATTTCTCCAGTAATTAAATTTCACTGCACCTTGTTAGCTAATTTCTTTCCCCCCTTCATCATTTTTGGCTGTTGTCGCTAGGGCTTCAACCTAGCTGAAATCACTAGTCAACAACCATTCTCATCCAAAGAAAGTACTATACCTCTCTTTGTTGCTTTTTATTATGTAAATATCTCAAGACAAAATGTAAGATTGGACCAAATACCACAGAAGATTTTGTAGTAGATCTACATACTCCTATAGACCAGAGATAGACAATAACCATGTTCACTACATGACTCACAGTCTGTGTCAAGGGTTTAACGTTTCTTTAAAAAGGGTTGCAAAAAATGTAAAAAGTTTAGAGGGAAGTTTTTTTTTTTTTTTTTAACATGTTTTGGCCCTTTCCAAACGGGGGCAGGGGAACCCAAAAAAGGGAAAAAAAAATTTCATCATCATTCAAAACTTTCGCCATCACTTTATACAAAAATCAATTTCCGTTGCAGAGGCGCTCAGATAAAACAAGGGCGAAAGTCCCTCCAAATTTCCAAAATTTCCTAAACCCCCCTTTAAAGTACACAGGCATTTTTTCAGTGGCCCCCCCCCTTACGATATTAATCCCCCTTTTCCCCAGACTCATTGTAAGCCCAAATTTTCTTAGCCAAATTATTTTCTTTATTTTTTTTTATTTTCACACGGCCCCTTCCCCCCAAGGGAGGTTGGGCCCCCAAAAAAGGGGGGAAAATTTTTAAACCATCATTCACTCCATCACTGTCTTGCCAAAAGGGTGCTTTACACTACAGTTTTTAAACTGCAACATTAACACCCCTCCTTCAGAGTGCAGGCACTGTACTTCCCATCTCCAGGACTCAAGTCCGGCCTGCCTGTTTCCCTGAACCCCTTCATAAATGTTACTTTGCTCACACCCCAAACAGCACGTCAAGTTTTTAAAAACCATTGTCTCCTTTTCACTCCTATCAAACACGCTCACGCATGCCTGCTGAAGTCCAAGCCCTCGCACACAAAACTCCTTTACCCCCTCCCCAACCTTTCCCAGGCCGACCCCTACCCCGCCTTCCTTCCACTACAGACTGATACACTCTTGAAGTCATTCTGTTTCGCTCCATTCTCTCTACATGTCCGAACCACCTCAACAACCCTTCCTCAGCCCTCTGGACACGGGTTTTGGTAATCCCGCACCTCCCCCTAACTTCCAAACTACGAATTTTCTGCATTATATTCACACCACACATTGCCCTCAGACATGACATCTCCACTGCCTCCAGCCTTTCCTTGCTGCAACATTCATCACCCATGTTCACACCCATAAAATGTTACTTTGCTCACACTCCAACAGCACGTCAAGTATTAAAAAACCATTTGTCTCCATTCACTCCTATCAAACACGCTCACGCATGCCTGCTGGAAGTCCAAGCCCTCGCACACAAAACCTCCTTTACCCCTCCTCCCATCCTTTCCCAGGCCGCCCCCTCCTGCCTTCCTTCCACTACAGACTGATACACTCTTGAAGTAAATTCTGTTTCGCTCCATTCTCTCTACATGTCCGAACCACCTCAAACCCTTCCTCAGCCCTCTGGAAAAACAGTTTTGGTAATCCCGCCCTCCTCCTAACTTCCAAACTACGAATTTTCTGCATTATATTCACACCACATTGCCCTCAGACATGACATCTCCACTGCCTCCAGCCTTCTCCTTGCTGAAACATTATCATCCATGCTTTCACCCATGTAAGAGCGTTGGTAAACTATACTCTCATACATTCCCCTCTTTGCTCCAAGGACAAAGTTCTTTGTCTCCACAGACTCCTAAGTGCACCACTCACCCTTTTCCCCTCATCAATTCTAGATTCACCTCATCTTTCATAGACCCATCCGCTGACACGTCCACTCCCAAATATCTGAACACATTCACCTCCTCCATACTCTCTCCCTCCAATCTGATATCCAATCTTTCATCACCTAATCTTTTTGTTATCCTCATAACCTTACTCTTTCCTGTATTCACTTTTAATTTTCTTCTTTTGCACACCCTACCAAATTCATCCCCCAATCTCTGCAACTTCTCTTCAGAATTCCCAAGAGCACAGTGTCATCAGCAAAGAGCAACTGTGAAAAACTCCCACTTTATGTGTGATTCTTTATCTTTTAACTCCACGCCTCTTGCCAAGACCCTCGCATTTTACTTTCTTTTTACAACCCCATCTAAAAAATATTTTAAACAACCACGGTGACATCACACATCCTTGTCTAAGGCCTACTTTTACTGGGAATTAAATTTTCCCCCTTTCCTACATACTCTAACTTGAGCCCCTATCCTCGTAAAAACTTTTTCACTGCTTTCAGTAACCTACCTCCTACACCATACACCTGCAACATCTGCCACATTGCCCCCCTATCACCCTGTCATACGCCTTTTCCAATCCATAAATGCCACAAAGACCTCTTTAGCCTTATCTAAATACTGTTCACTTATATGTTTCACTGTAAACACCTGGTCCACACACCCCCTACCTTTCCTAAAGCCTCCTTGTTCATCTGCTATCCTATTCTCCGTTCTTACTCTTAAATTTTTTCAATAATAACTCTACCATCACTTTACCAGGTATACTCAACAGACTTATCCCCTATAATTTTTGCACTCTCTTTTGTCCCTTTGCCTTTTACAAAGGAACTATGCATGCTCTCTGCCAATCCCTAGGTACCTTACCCTCTTCCATATATTTATTAAATTTTTGCACCAACCACTCCAAAACTATATCCCCACCTGCTTTTAACATTTCTATCTTTATCCATCAATCCCAGCTGCCTTACCCCCTTTCATTTTACCTACTGCCTCACGAACTTCCCCACACTCACAACTGGCTCTTCCTCACTCCTACAAGATGTTATTCCTCCCTTTCCCCATACACGAAATCACTGCTTCCTATCTTCATCAACATTAACAATTCCTCAAATATTCCTCCATCATCCCAATACCTCTAACTCTCCATTTAATAACTCTCCTCTCCTATTTTTAACTGACAAATCCATTTGTTCTCTAGGCTTCCTTAACTTGTTTTAATCCACTCCAAAACTTTTTCTTATTTTTCAACAAAATTTGTTGATAACATCTCACCCACTCTCTCATTTGCTCTCTTTTTACATTGCTTCACCACTCTCTTAACCTCTCTCTTTTTCTCCATATTACTCTTCCTCCTTGCATCACTTCTACTTTGTAAAAACTTCTCATATGCTAACTTTTTCTCCCTTACTACTCTCTTTAATCATTATTCCACCAATCGCTCCTCTTCCCCCCCCACACCCCCCTTCTGTAACCACAAACTTCTGTTGAACAACTCTAACACTACATTTTTAAACCTACCCCATACCTCTTCGACCCCATTGCCTTTGCTCTCATTAGCCCATCTTTCCTCCCAAAAGCTGTTTATATCTTACCCAAACTGCCTCCTCTTTTAGTTTTATAACCTTCACTCTCTCTTCCCTGATGCTTCTATTCTCCTTGTATCCCATCTACCTTTTACTCTCAGTGTAGCTACAACTAGAAAGTGATCTGATATATCTGTGGACCCTCTATAAACATGTACATCCTGAGTTATCAACAGTCTTTTATCTACCAATACGTAATCCAACAAACTTTCGTCATTCGCCCTACATCATATCTTGTATACTTATTTATCCTCTTTTTCTTAAAAAAATGTATTTCCTATAACTAAACCCTTTCTATACAAAGTTCAATCAAAGGGCTCCCATTATCATTTACACCTGGCACCCCAAACTTACCTACCACCCCTCTCTAAAAGTTTCTCCTATTTTAGCATTCAGGTCCCCTACCACAATTACTCTCTCACTTGGTTCAAAGGCTCCTATACATTCACTTAACATCTCCCAAAATCTCTCTCTCTCCTCTGCATTCCTCTCTTCTCCAGGTGCATACACGCTTATTATGACCCACTTCTCGCATCCAACCTTTACTTTAATCCACATAATTCTTGAATTTACACATTCATATTCTCTTTTCTCCTTCCATAACTGATCATTCAACATTACTGCTACCCCTTCCTTTCCTCTAACTCTCTCAGATACTCCAGATTTAATCCCATTTATTTCCCCCCACCGAAACTCCCCTACCCCCTTCAGCTTTGTTTCGCTTAGGGCCAGGACATCCAACTTCTTTCCATTCATAACATCAGCAATCATCTGTTTCTTGTCATCTGCACTACATCCACGCACATTCAAGCATCCCAGTTTTATAAAGTTTTTCTTCTTCAAATTTTTTAGTAAATGTCTACAGGAGAAGGGGTTACTAGCCCATTGCTCCTGGTATTTTAGTCGCCTCATACGACACGCATGGCTTACGGAGGAAAGATTCTTTTCCACTTCCCCATGGACAATAGAAGAAAAAAAAAAGAACAAGAGCTATTTAGAAAAAGAAGAAAAACCTAGATGTATGTATATATATATGCATGTGTGTGTCTGTGAAGTGTGACCAAAGTGAATGTAGGAGTAGCAAGATATCCCTGTTATCTAGCATGTTTATGAGACAGAAAAAGAAACCAGCAATCCTACCATCATGCAAAACAGTTACAGGTTTCTGTTTCACAGTCATCTGGCAGGACGGTAGTACTTCCCGGGGTGGTTGCTGTCTACCAACCTACTACCTACCTTTCCTTATAAGAAATAATGGAAATCAAATTAATCCGTTTCTGACACCCCAAAGTATGAAAAAAAAA